TGATGGCTGTCATCTGTAATATAAAGCCTCCAGGAGAGAGTTTGTTAACTCTATTTGTAATTTCCCAGCCAAGGAACATCTCATTACTCATCAGCCATCATCCAACTTTTGCACTGCTTCTTCTTCACACTCAAGAAAGCTTTTTACCATAGCTTGTTGATCCTTTTTCTTAAAGCTCTCCCTTTTTGGCTTCTTCTTTGGCCAGGAGTATTATAATATTAGGTAGAAGAATGATAAACGTGTTGGGCGTGGTCATTAATTATTGATTAATAACTATAATAATCATTCTAAAAATAGTATATCCGCTAGCTCTGGTAGGCAGACAGAAAAGCTCGTTAAAGCGGGGGCGTTTCACACTCCTACTCCTTCCTTAACCCAACATTATGGACTCCTGATAGTATCTATGATCGTATCCTCAGCCACCGTTAGGAGACCAACTGTTGCCATGACGCCAGCTGTCAAGGACTCAGCAGTTTTATCCTGCATTAGAGCAAGGGCTGAAGAAAGGAACAGGGCTCTGTTCAGAGCCGCAAGAGGAGGAGGAAGAGTTGAGAAGAGGAGACTTGAGGGTGAATCAACGAGACCTCCCAGTGGAAAGGTATTGAGACTATGGTATATTGCATGTTCAGAATTTTGGTGTTTCTTAAAATGGCCTCAAGTTAACTTGAAAAATTGAAGTCGGAATCAGCTCAAACTTGCTACACAGCATAAGTACATTATTATGTATCAGAAAATGTAATAAAAAATTGGAGTGATTTTGGAGCCATTTTTTGGAAAAAACCATGGGATAGTCTTGGATATTTTTCAGAATTTTGACATTTTCTTAAAATGGCCGTAACTTGAAAAATTGAAGTCGGAATCAGCTCAAACTTTTTACACAGCGTAAGGACATCAATATGTATTATATCAGAAAATGTATTAAAAATTTGGGGTTATTTTGGGGCCATTTTTTGAAAAAACCATGGTACATGTGTTATAATTGGACTCACCGCATAGGTGAGTATTAAGTACTTTGGTTCTCTGTCTGTGATCATGAATTTTTAATTAGATTTTTGAAAAATATTTTTAATTAAGAAACTAAGTGCTAGGCAAAGAAACCATGCCTCTATTAATAATTGGCAATTTTACATGCTTGCATTTCTTAATGCATTATTTTTTGTTTTGCTGTCTTATGCATGATCTCTTAGGCAAATAAAATCTATCAAGACAACAGTATCTGTGCCATCACAATAGGTGTTAGTTTTTTAAAGCTCTTTTGACTTTAGTCAGTGCAAAACATGCATTATTAAAGCATTGAATCATGGTCCTTGTCTCTATCATGCTGCATAATAGAGATGAAGCCCATGTTTCATTGCTTTTACATAAATGCAAGAGTAACTGCACTGCAGTGAATCCAAGCACCGTAGGTGTCTCGTTGCTGATATTGTTTATTTATTTTAGAGAGTATTAAACTCACTGATTGCTCCTGGCAGACTGAGTATAAGGACACCACCAATTGATGGGAGAATGGGTAATTAAATTTATTATTATTATTATTATTATTATTATTATTATTATTATTTCAAGGTGTTATTTGTAGTTCAAGAGTATTATCAAGTGCTTATCCAAGACATCAAGGGTTAGTTCAGTACATGTACATGCAAATAATATTTCACTGTATGCAGCATAATTTTTGTTATTTTTGTGCTCACTAAGTTTAAGCCACCTCTAGTCCCATTCTATTGTACATGTATGTATAAAGACTGTGACCACAATAGGGTACATGTATCTAGTGTTCATGTATAATGTATCTCTGTCTATTTGTAGTGTTCCAACGTCAGTTACTTCTACTTCTAATCAATCCATGATCAATGAAAGGTAAATAAACATGTATTGTTTATTTATTTGTTTGTTTATTTATTTTTTAATTATATTCCAGAAGGCTATCAGCTCCTTTATCATGGAGTGATTTTCAATCACAACTAGCAAACAATGGAAGCTATTCACATCAACGGTAATGTGCATACAATATACAGCATGTATGTACATGTACATATGTACATGTACTTTTACAATAGTGGGAATTAGTAGGTCAATTTTAGCTACAGTGAAACCTTTAATTTGATATAGGAATGTCTTACTACCTCAGATATTATATTCTCTTCCTGCTAGCTAGACACTTACACTTAATTTCTAAAAAAACTTTGATGTACGA